TCCAGCTCCCATCAGCAGCCTGTGATTAACGAATTATCAGCATGAGGGACAAACATGGAATTGTTAAGGTTGGAAAACTCCTCCCATATCAAATCCAACCGTTAGAACCATTATATATATCTATAGATTACATCGAGATCTAGAAATAGAAATATAGATATAAATATAGATATAGAAATATATAGATGTATAGATATAGAGATATAAACATATAAATATAAATATAGATATAGAGATATAGGTGTAGATATATAAATGTAGATAGATACAGATCTAGATATATAGATATAGATATAAATGTCTCCAAAGAGAAACATTTTCCATCTGACTTTTGTGCCAGATCCCAGCCAAAAATCCCAAGAACTTTTTGCAACTTCTCCAGCTCTAATTGCCTTTCCCCCCTCTTCTCCTTTACCCTGCTCAACCTTTCTGGGTTTATTCTATTTATTTGTTTGGGTTCTCACCACACACGTCAAAAAGTTATGAAAAAAACCTGGAATTCCCAGGAATTGCCTCCAAATCCAGCTTTTTTTTTTTTTCCACGTGTCTTTTAGGGGATTTTCTTGGCAGTTTCACCCCAGGAACGGTTAAATGTGCATCCCCCTCCCCCCAAAAAAATGGGATTTTAATCAAGCTCTGGGAGCTCTTGCAGAGGAGTTCCCTGCCTCTCCTCAATTACAGCCAGCAAAAGTAATTAAACAACCAAACACAATTAATGCACTAATTACTGCCAGGAACGTGGCCCATCTAATCTCCTTGCTGCTAATTACAAAGCCCTGAGTTCATTGAGCTAAAAGCCCCGGACCTGGGGAAGTGGAGGTGGGGACAATATGTTCCTTCTCTCTCTCTGCCTTCATTGCAATTTAATCTTTCACAGGATGTGATCCCAAGGTTGTTTTACAGCCAGCACTTGGCTTCTGTTTTCAACCTGATCCTCTCATATTTTTAGTCCCTCCAGCAAAACTTTTCTTAGGTTCTTCATCTTTTAATGATTTGGGGTAAAGTGTCGCTTCTGTTCATCCTCAGTTAGGCTTTAGAAAAACACAGAGATGGAATAAATGTATTTTACTGGAATATCTAAGACAATTAATGTTTGGCCTTAAGGAGAGCAGGGGAAAAAATGGAACTTAAAATTCTGCCAGGCCATGATATAAGAAAAGAAAATTTCTGCAAATTAATTGTCGAGCTGAGCAGGTGAAAAATTCCAAGTTAGGCATCATTCATTCCCATTTCACTCCATGAATGTGCTGCAGTGACATCACTTTTCCTCCCTTTAAATTACATGGAATATTCAAACCTGTGACCTCGGAATCAGCAGGAAAACAGACATGGATGATCCAACAAATCATTTCAAGACTATTCCTGGATTTTTGCATTTTTTGCATGGTCTGCAATAGAGGCAGCAAGGGCAGAAAATCCAGGGGAGGGATGTGGAAGGTCAGGATTTTGCTCAGTTTGGGAATTTTTGGAAGCCCCCTGAGCACACACACTGACCTCAGTGCAGGGAGAGCCCCCAGACAGGCTGGCTCCACACAGACAGGATAAGGAAACCATGCGTGAGCACAGAAATCCTGGGATTTTCCTGCTAATAAGAAGCAAAACCCCCACTCCCCTCCCAGTTGCTGAGTGCCAGTGGCCAAATTATTCCCCAAATAAATATTTGAGCTCACTGGGGAAGCTCAAAGGGCTCCTTTCCCCAAGGCAGGGATGAGATTTTTGTGGATCACGCTTTGTCTTCCTCCTCCTCCTCCTCCTCCTCCTCCTCCTCGGGAAAAGGCAAAAGGAGGAAGGGGAAGAGCCAGGGAAAGGATTTTGGGACAGGGAGGCTGTGCCTGCTGGTCCGGGGCTGGTGACAGCACTGGCAGGGGGCAGGGTGGTGATGTTCTCCCGGGGGACAAGCAAAATGAAGTCCCAAGGGACAGAGTCTCTGCACGAAATTAAATTTTGCTCCGTGTGGAATTGGGAGCACCCTGGACCGTTTTTCCCATTTAAACCAAGCAAGAGAATCGCAGTTACTGGGAAAAAAGGGAAAGAATATTGCAGTGTGAGCAAATGAAATGCAGCCAAAACGATGCCAAAGAAGCAAGGGAAATTAAAAAAAAAAACAGGAGAATGTATTTCATGTTTATGACAAGAGCTAGAAAATTATCTAAGCTGCAAACAAGACATGACACCTGTCGAGAAAAAACTTTTCTAGTCCGTGTTCCAGCTCGGCAGGTACATGGGAAAGGCATTTTTAACAGAATGGGATGAGGTTTTAAAGTTAATTTTTA